CGTCCATTCGCACTGGTCTGAAAAGGCAGCATTCAGATAGTTCCTTACATCTTGTTGAAAATAATTAGGTGCTCAATTATGCTGGAATTATAAACATAATTACACAGCTACTGGAATATCCTTCAGCAACTCTTGCAAGGTCTCCTTCAGAAAAATATGATATTTTCTTCTATCCAGTTGGTTTGACATAAACCATGGCCTAATCAGATAGTCAATGATTTTCATCTAAATATTTATAGAGTATCGCCTCTGAAGCACAGATGGACATACTGCTTGTGGCTTTATATTGAACCCATATGTACACTTTGAACATTTGAAATACATTAGCACCAGGTTGACTGCATTCATGAAAAGTAAAACAGATAGAAATTTCAATTATACTACACTATGCTACAAGAACCAGCCAGTGAATACTACATAATGAGGATAATCCCCAGTGGCTTCAAAGGCTTACATCCTTCGAAGGTAATATGAGTAACAACTGTTCATCACACACCAGTTGCTATATTGAGGAATATGGCATGAAAAGCTACATCTCATAGCTCTTGTGTTTATGTCTGGCTGAACTTCTATCATAGCTAAAATATTCTCTTCCATACTTAGCACATTTACACTTCTTTAAAGATCTGTAGCAGCAATAAGAGATCCTCAACCTTATTGATAATACAAATGCTGAAATGTTTTATAATCTGTCAACCACTTATTAGGAAAAAGTTTTTCTTCAATTGCTGTCTCTCACTACTAGCCCCAAAAGCTCCACACATGAACCGCAAATTAGCCTTCTCAACAATTACATATTTTTTCAGAAACAGAAATTAAAGTTTACACAGAGAACAATTTGGTGCTTACAGAATTATTAGTTGCTGGTGAGCAGAAGTCCTTATATGCTTTTATGTTTCCTTACCAATCATGCATTCTGCCCCTTCTCCCAAAAATGAACTGTTATGATGTATTCCAATACCTACTAAAAATCATTATACCTAAATAAGCTAATAAAAATACTTTACTTTATTCTGGCACGAAAACCGTAAGCAGGTTTCTTTTCAAATGAATTAAAAAAAAAAAAAAAAAAAAATTGATATCTTAGCTGATTGTAAATGTTTTCACTTATATTCCACACTGGGATATTTACATGTGATTGCAAGGATACACATTCCTTGCAACTACATGTAAGGAATTAGATGTGTATATCCCACACTCGGATATACACATTTCATGACTTAATTTTATTTATTATCTCTTGATTTTATATATATGTGTGTGCGTGTTTGAGCCTTAGCATGCATGCATATTATATGTACTTACATTAAAAAATAATACATGCTAAATAAAACTGATATTGTAATAAGAAAATAATCAAAAACTCTTTCTAATCTAATGAAAATTTTTTTAAGTACAGAAAATGCACTCAAAATATGAAAGTTGAATAGCACTTTAATGTACTGAAACAGAAAATTAACATTTTTAATAAGATGACTGCAGCTGAAGTAGACAAATTATTATAAAGGACATTTTTCATCATACAGGTGAAAGTAATTTCATGATTTATAGACTATAATTTTAGCAAAAAATGATTCATATTTAGCAAAAAATATGCATTGGTAATCCTAAATATTTTAACACATGTAAATTTAATGCTATCTGGAAAACAAAACGAAAATAAGCTGAATGGAAGAAATTAAAAAAACAACTAAGGAACTTTAATGAAGCAAATGCAATATTTTTAGGGTCGACTTCATTCCAAACCGACTTTAAACTTTTTACAGTCTTTAAAATATCATTCTTAGGAATCTTTGCATTAGAGAGTTATTGAATGTTTAAAGACAAAAACTGATGTTGCAAAATACCTGACAATATACACTGACTACCAATAAGTATTTGAACACCTGTGATAGAAAAGAAAAACTAACTTTATTCAAAATCAGTAGTTGGTAGAACCTCCACGAGAGGTAATTACAGCGTGGACCCTCCGGGGCATACTTTCCACAAGTCTTTGTATGACAGCTAGTGGTATATTCTTCCACTCGACTTGGAAAAGACATGGAAGTTCCTTCACCGATTTTGCACAGGTAGTGCACCCCTGAATTCGGCGATGCAACTCGTCCCAGAGGTTCTCAATAGGGTTCAGGTCTGGACTCTGGGTACACGATATATACCGGCGGAGTCCGTGAAATACCTTAGGACAGCAGATATCGTCATTTGCATAGGTGTCCAAATACTTATTGGTAGTCAGTGTATTTCTAGAAACAATTTGAAGCTACTATAGACATCATTTAAAAAGCTAGATAAATATGAGAAGAGTGACAACTTCAAAAGATTCACATTTTTCTCTAATGGCAGCCTGAAATAGACAGCTGACTGCCAAGCAGCTGACCAATTTTGCATTATGATAAATTTTGACAGACAGCTATAAGAATGAAACTTTAATACATGAAAGCTTGTAGAGACATTAGGTATTTTTTGGAAGAAGGCAAGTTGAAAAATGATCAGTCGCCTTCATGGACCTATGAAATACCAGCCCAGCATGAAGAACCACTACACCACGCTAGGAAGGTAGGAGAAATTCCTTATATACTCCCCTTGTTAAAAGGCGACTGGGGTTTTCAGGAGACCCAATTGCCAAATCCTGGGTGAAGAGAATTATCATCCAACACCCTTTTAGTTCGGGTGCCACTGTAAAGACGTTAGGTGTTTTTTTGGAAGCAGGCAAGTTGAAAAATGAGCAATCGCTTTTGCCTGGATTCAAACCATGGACCTCTAAAATACCAGCCCAGCGTGCAGAACCATTACACCACGAAGGCACGCTAGGAAGGCAGGAGAAATTCCTTATAAGCTTTTTATTCATATCGCTTGAACTTCACATCAAAAGAGAACTGCCTGAAAATGTAGAGAATAATTATTTTAGTTGAAAGAAAATCTATGAACTTGCATAATGCTAACAAGATAGGATTCGGATTAATCAAAGATTCTTATAGAGGGAGCTATAAGCAGAACGATCAATATGCCTGTAAAAGTATTACACAGTTACAGGAGCCAGACATTTTAACAATCTGTACATACATGTTCCATTACTAACGTATATGCTCCTGCAGACACTGTTGTCAACAACACTAAGAAGAAGTCCTTGAGTGCTATCCAAGACTCACACAAGTCACTTCAGTGATGACTTACTTTTGCTGCAAGGTATGTGAGACTATTTATAGTTAATGCTGTGTCATAGAAATAGATTGTACCCATATGCTGACTTACCTACTATAAGTAATATGATTTAAAGGAGGTAATAAAAGATTATGTGCACCATATTGATTACTAAGCCTTTAAGCATAGAATTTTACTACTATGTGCCAGAGTGTAATTGGCACTAGAGGTAAATTTTACTTCCATAATGCCACATTATGCACTGGCACGTGGCATTTAAAAAAGTGAATCAAAATAAGTAATATGCATTTTTTGGTATGAAACTATATCACAAACAAATGTATATATTACAAATGAATTTATTGCAAGACAGTTACAATGATATTATTGCAAACTATATATTTCAGAACATCATTCGTGCATGATCTTTGCGTGAAATGAAATTCTGCCAGGGTTCGTACACAATTCTGTTCACAGAAATTAAGTACTTTCAAGGACTTTTAAGGACAATTAATGTAAAAATTAAGGACCTTGGAGCAAATGAGAACTGAATAAATTCAATTAAAAATATTATTCGATACTTGAATTTTACTTTTGTAATACCATGTCAAAAATAAAATAGATCCCTAAGTAATATGCATTATTACTAAACATGAATTTATTAACATAATTATTAATAAGCTTGAGAATGAAATAAACTTTTAAACTTTATTTATCAAGTAGCATTAAATATTTTACACTTATAATAGTTGGACATATTTGAAAGAAGATAAGTGAAATTTAAGTTTTACTAGTAGTTAGCTTTATGTTGATTTTTTTACGTCTCATTTTGTCACATACTTGGTCAGTCTAAAGGTTTAGTAAATAGCAGGTAGATTTTATGTCAAACGACATAGGTTAAAATGAGAAGTACGATCATAATTGGCATGATTCATAACAAAAGACTGAATCCTGCTGTCACTGCTGCTGCTTGTCTAAAGAGAGACCTGCTGATTAAAACAAACCTGAAAGGGCTGATGTAGGCACGGTTGGCAAGTGTTGAAAGTTACTCAAAATCTGTTTAATGCAGTTACTATCTGTTGCTTAACAAGTAAATCATAGGTTCGAAAATCTGAGCCGACACTTTTTAAAAACACCAACATTTATTTTCACGACATTTCTAATTCTACAAAATCTTAAGTGCAACTAACTATCAAACAGAAAAGCAGACGTAGACGTAATGATGCATCTGGGCACGTGATCCTCGTGACAGACGAATTCTTTAGGGTTGCCACAGAAAGGCAGTGTGTCGCCACAATTCTCCCACCTTTTGAGTGGATGGCTATACACTCAAAACATAAAACTTACATCAATATAAATGATGGTTATATAACAAAGAAAATTACTTAATACTTAAATCATATTACTTGAAAACAAAATTAATACTGAGGAATAATACAACAATAATAGCACAAAAATTAATCATAATAACTCAAAGACATAAATTACATTATTCGTGATTTTACAACTCTACCACTACTGGTGGTGAAAGGAACTTGCTCATTTTGAGTATTATCTATTATATTATCCAGTTCCAATCTAAACAATCTCTGTATTGGTCTCAAGAACTCTGAATTATTACTTTTTACAAGAGCAACTCTTATGTTGCCATCTCGACCAGGGATCACTCGAATAACGCGTGCTAAATTCCAATATGCACGGTTTTTATTTTGATCCTCCAGCAAGACAATTTCTCCTACAGAGAGAGGTTTATTTTTGTAATTTCTGGTAGACTGCTGTCTTAACTGCCCTAGATAGATACTCAGAGCGAAATCTCACTCTTAACAATTCTCTCATTCTCTGGAGATACTTCGCTCTTCTACTCAATTTTTCTTTGTCCACATTGTCAATATCAGGTACACCCGACTGTGGAGTTTCATGCAGAAATTTTTCTGGAGTTAAAGGCAAGGGATCTTCAATATCGTCAGACACGTACGTAAGTGGTCTTGAGTTGACAATTCTTTCACAATCACACAAGACGGTGAGTAACTCTTCATAACCAAGAGAAGCACGACCTAAAATTTTTCTTAATATTTGTTTTACAATTTGTATTAAACGCTCCCACCATCCACCCCACCAAGCGGCGGATGGAGGATTAAATTTCCATTGTATTCTCTTTTCAGCAGCCTTAGAGCAGAGGCTGTCCCAGTCAATGGTTTGCAGAACTCTCTCTGCACCCACAAAATTTTTCCCATTATCGGAATATATGGTGGTAGGGGGCGTCCACGACGTGCGATAAAACGCCTTAAAGCTTGAAAAAATGATTCAGTTGTTAATGAGGTAACCAGTTCCATATGGATAGCACGATAAACCGCACAGGTGAAGAGCACAATATACGATTTTCGTCCATCCTTTAAATGCAAGGGTCCTGCAAGATCACACCCTACGATTTCAAAAATGGCTGAATCACGAACCCTATCATTTGGTAAAACGCCTGGGACTGTCTCTCACCTCTTTTAGCCTTAAATCTCTGACATGTTACACATTTTCTTATACAGTTCCTTATAGTTTTACGTGATTTTAAGATCCAGTATCTTTCTCTTAAATGCGACATCAATAATGTAGTACCTGCATGCAACAAATCTTTGTGTGCACTTAATATCAATAATTTGACTACTGGATGCTCAGAAGGTAATATGATGGGGAACTTAAAGCTGCTAGAGTCGTCACGATAAGCAACATTAGACTTAGCTCTTATTAGACCCTGACTATCGACAAATGGTCTGAGTCGTCTTAGCTTATCATCTGTTTCACCATTAAACGACTCTTTTTGTATTAATAACATTAAAGCTATTTCTCCCCTTTCTATTTCAGATACAGTCAAATCCTTAGAATGGTTGTTATTATTACAATTTTCTTAAATGATGAGAAATACTTATAGTACCATCCAATACAATTATCACTCTTTGCCAACGTAACAATAACTGTCTTACGTATTTCTGAATTAACCAAATCCTCATCTGGTTCATCATTAGATTTAGGCCAATTTGCCTCATCTTCCCGTAACCAATCAGGTCCCTCCCACCATTTTCGTTCTATTAATTGATCTGCATAACAACCTCTAGAAAGTAGGTCAGCAGGATTGAGACTACCAGGGACATGTCGCCATACAGTGGGGGAGGTCAACGACCTGATTTCCTGTACACGATTAAAAACGAATGCTCCCCAACGTTGATTTCGCCGTATCCAACTTAAAGCCGTCGAGGAGTCAGTCCAACAATGAATACGAACTTCATGTAGGCCAATATCATTAATAACTGAAGACAATAACCTAGAACCAATATTACAAGCAAGAAGTTCTAATCGAGGAATCGTAATAGGTTTTAAAGGAGCTACTCTCGATCTTGCGTGTATCAAACTAACCTTCACCTTTTTGCCACTCTGTACTCTTAAAAAGACGCATGCACCATACGCACTTTTACTACTGTCACAAAAGAGATGTATACTCACAGCTTCATTAATAGATTTGAGACCTACCCATCTAGGTATTTGGATACTGGATAGCAAGTACAACTTTTTAAGCCAAAACCTAAACTTTTTGGTTAATTCATCGGGAAGAACATCGTCCCATTTAAGCCTTAAATTCCAAGTTTCCTGTAAAATTAGTTTTGGAATCAACATTACAGGAGCCGTATACCCTATAACGTCAAACACCTGATGAGCTACTGCTAAAACTAGTCTTTTAGTAACTGGGTCATCCAATTTTATATCTTGACTTATTTTGCAAGATAAGGTATCTGTAACTGTATGCCATACAAGGCCCAAAACAGACACATCTCCTTCCGTGGAGGAATCTTCCTCTGGCACAACACTTCTTATATTGGATTTCCAGAATCTTAAATTAAAATGACCCGAAGCCATAATTATTTGTGATTCATTTACAAACTTTCTCATTTCTATTTCTGAATCCATACTAGCCACACAGTTATCTACGTAAAAGGATGTTTTCAAAATCTCCGCTGTATGACTTAAGCTTTCGGGAACTACACTCAAATGATATTGTATTGTAGCGGCCAATAAATACGGACTACACGTAATACCAAAAACTACCCTTCCATGCCGATACAGTTCAACTTGTTCTTGATTATCCCTACTGAACCACATAAATCTCAAAAAGTCTCGATCTTTTTCCCTTATAGATATTTGCAAGAACGCTTTTTCTATATCTGAAGTGACACCAACGTAATTCTTGCGAAACCGATTAAGAATCGAAGGTATAATTTCTATTAAATTTGGTCCAGTAGATAAACAATCGTTCAATGATGGGTAACCAGGCGAATGAGAACTTGCATTAAACACCGGTCTTATACTCGTGCTACTATTTTCTTTAACAACTGCTCTATGAGGTAAATAATGTACACCCTTATATTTATTCTTATCCGGTACTTTTTCAATTATCCCGAGTGCTAACCAGTTCTGGAAAACGTCTCCGTAAGCGTCAAAATTTCCCGTAGTCATTAATTTTCTTTTAGTACTTACAAGACATTTTTCTGCTATCACTTTGTTTTCGGGTAAAAGCGAGCTATCCGACACCCAAGGTAATGCTACTTCGTACCTTCCCTCTGAATTTACCGTAAGAGTCTCTTCAAAATATTTTTGCGTATCCTCCTGTAACTGAGTTTTGGTTTTACTTACGGAAGGTTCACTAATACCCAAAACATCTAACTTCCAGAGATCACTTATACATTGACCCTTCACTAACAGAGAAGAAATTAGGAGGGATGCAGTATTTATCGTAGTTGGCTCAGTGCCAGTAAATTTACCCATAACAGTCCAGCCTAACTGCGTATGCACCGCGCTGACGCCGCACGTAAGGGGAACAATTTTTCCAGTTAGCAACTTACCAGCAAAATCCGCACCAATTAGTAATTTTATCTCTTTATCTACCTTACATGTACCATTTTCTAAATCACTTAATTTGATACCATGTGACTTAAGTTCGCGTAACCACGAACCAGATGGGAGTTGCTTAATTTCAGAACAAATTTTGTTTTGACCAAGTACCTCTAATTTACACTTATATTTACTATATATATTGCTTACTTCAATAACATAGTTTTTATATACATTTTCTGAAGTCTCAACTCCACCAAAAAGAAATTGCTTAATTTTTGATTCACCAATACACTTACAATTTAACCTTTGAGCAACATCATTACATAAATATGATTTCATAGAACCACTATCATAAATTGCTCGTACAAACATTTCTTTAGAACCATTCTGAATTTTTACAATTAAAGTTTGAAGATATACATCTGATACCTTAACATAGTTATTAAGAATGCCTGTTTTGTTTTCGTCATTCCCTAACTTTGTGACACTTTTTGTTTTGTTAGAAGGCAAATCAGGGCACATAATCACAAAATGTCGATTTTTACATAAGGTACACCTATGTTTAGCTGTGCACTGATTTGCTCTATGGTTTTTCTTAAGGCACACAAAACAAACATTCTTTTTCTTAATAATATCTTTCTTACATTCTAAACTCATTAAAGATGCATCTTTACAACTTTCAGACAAATGGGATTTTTCACAAAAAATACAAGTATCAGACTTTTTATACTTTTGAAAATTATCATTCTTTCTTACATCTTTCACATCTAAATTAAACTTTGCATCATTTACAACTTTCAGACAAAATGGGATTTTTATACAAGTATACAAAAAAACTTTTACAGTATTTTTTTTTACATTTTTACATTTATTATGACATTACACTTACTACTATATTTGCATTAATTAGTTCACATGCAGTTGGAACAACAGGTTTTTGTGTCAAAAAACTTATTTTTCTTATTACTTACTTTATCAGAACCCAAAACATCACGGGTAAGTTTAACTCTAAATTCAGTTTCTACTTCCCTTTTTAGAAAATCAATTAATGACTCTAAATCACTCTTACCTGTTGTTTCAGGAGACATACCTCGTTGTCTTTCCCAAATTTGTATTAAATCAGCAGGAAGTGCTGATTCCACTAAAGGAAATAAAACAACTGCAAATTTATCTTTAGTTAAACCGAGTGATTCCAATGCGCGTAGTTGAGTTTGCAACTTGTCATAAAGAGTTAATAAGTCTATCTTTTGTTTGTCATTGATTACCAGTTTTTAATAGCTCTCTAACATAAATTTGAATTAAAACATTTTCATTTCCAAATCGTTCTTTGAGATACTCCACGGCTTTTTCGTAATTTTCTTCCGTAGCAGGAAAACTCTCCACTATTGCTCTAGGCGCAGTCTCAGGTTTCGTAGATTGTAGTAGATAATGAAACTTGTCTCTCTTGTCGATGCGAGTATCTTCATGTATTTTACTAAACCTTGTCCAAAACGTCAACCACTTTCGGGAGTCTCCATCGAACTTCACCAGTTCGATCTCTGGCAATTTCTGTTTTGCGGCCGTAACTATTCCTGATGAAGAACCGCTATTCGTTGAACCAGTAGAAGGCTGTGAACACTTATCCTTTTTCCTGTTGGCTTTTACTTTCAACGTAGATAATTTATCGTAATATTCTTGAGCTGCACTAAATTCTCTTTCGTATTCTTCTTCAGTACAGCCTTTTTCTGTAGAAGTTCCAAAAAAGAGTCATCCGTATTTCGTAAAGTTTTATACTTCTCTGAAATTTGATCTAAATAAATTTCTAAATCGTCCAAATCCGGAGAATCTGATCGTATCAGTTCATCTAACTTATTAGCTGTTTTCGTAAATACACTTGTGATTGCGGCCCCACTGCACGAACCAGAGGGACGTTGAACGGAAATAGACAAGTTTGTAAGGTTTAGTCCCTTTTATCACTTAGAGTTACATGGTGTTTGACCCACAACTACGCCGTCCCGGCGGTAAATAATAAGAATGAAAAGAAATAATAACAAGACTCTAATTACGAGGCTCTCTAAAAGTAACTAACCTCACCGCGTTTTACAATACCGCTGCTAATTCAGCAAACTTTGAATATCACGTTGAACGATTAACAATTCTCCAAGGCAAGCACACAGGCCGAAAAGCGGGGTTCTTCAATTTTTGGCTAACTATTTCCGCGCTCGTGAAGTAAGAACAGCACATCTCGAACTCGTTTCCTTTCTATTTAACTCAGAATACTTCCGCTGATAATTTGAATTCTTGCGCGTTCTACTAAAATTTACATACTCTGGCATTGGCAGTTCCAAGGGAAAGTAAGGCTTGACAGGAAAGATAGTTTAAACTTAAAATAAATGTTAGTTAAAATAAATATAAACCCTACACACTCCTAATTGTTTTCCGCTTCTGTTTTAGTGTTTCTAAATCATCCATGTTTGCACCTAGGAACTTCTTTTATTTTCGTAAATTATGAAGTGTCGAAATCGATAATGTCACCCTGTGACATTCATCCTGGCTGGCTCGCCAAATTTTTTGCTTAAGAAGTGAATCATAGGTTCGAAAATCTGAGCCGACACTTTTTTAAAACACCAACATTTATTTTCACGACATTTCTAATTCTACAAATTCTTAAGTGCAACTAACTATCAAGCAGAAAAGCAGACGTAGACGTAATGATGCATCTGGGCACATTCTTTAGGGTTGCCACAGAAAGGCAGTGTGTCGCCACACCTGCCTTGCAGGAGAGCACTGCGCTTGTAATTTCCTAACAATATTCACGCTATGCATGGTTAACAGGATACTGATTAGACATGAAAAACAAAAAACACAAATACTAACTATTTAACTATGCTATTACTAAACTATGCAGAAAGCCCATTCCATTCCCTTCAGGACCAAATCCAAACCAAGTCAAACTACAGGTATAGAGAGGTCTAAACCACCAGCCATTGGAGAGGATCTTGCATTACTTGCTGTTTTAAATTGGTAAATATAATATAAAATTCCTCAAGGTTCCTCTATCAAATGACTCCAATAAAATTTCTAAAATTAGCAAACAACATTTCAAGCAACTTACACTGGGCTTAAAGAAAACCCAAATTTACAGTTCATCTGGATGAAACGATTGGTATTTCAAACATAGCTCAGCTGTTAGTATAAGTCAGATACATTTATAAAGAAAATATCATTCAAGAATTATTATTTCCTAATTATTAAAAAAAAAACACAAAAAGAGATGACATATACCAAGAAGTTGAAGGCCCTTAACAAATAACAGTGCCCTTAACAAATGCTTATTTTCAAATTATGTAAAGACATGGAATGTAAAAACAATTATTGTTATTACATGCAGAAGTAAGACGAATGTTAACAGGGTGAAGCTTAAAAAGATTAAAATAATTAAAAGATAAAATTATTGTATTTTTAACTAAACAATAAACTGATCGTGCTGATCGTGCTGCTCTATTTGATAAACTGATCGTGCTGCTCTATTTGAAAATAATTCACGGCTATCAAACCTGTGCATTTTTTCAGATAATTTTGAGATACTAAAATATTTTAACTTGTCTATTCCAGGAAAAATTAGCAATATATGTACTTCATTTTGTCAGAAAATTTTGGGTTACATACTAAATTATTTCAACTTATCTCTTTGAGGAAACATTAGGAATATATGTAGTTCAAATGATAAAATTGATTTTATTAAAATGATCAATATTTGGCAGCTTGGGATGGGAAATGTTTCATTTGAAATACTTTCAACTGTTAACAATTTTATTATTGAGGAAAAAAAAAAAAAGTAACTGCAAAATTTACTATAGTTTACTTAAAAAACACAAACAGTTTTCAAATAACTTTTATCAAATTTTGATTTTAAAAAGATGCCTTAGATTAAATAAGTATATTTTGACCGACATTAATGAGATTGAACATCTTATATACAAAGAATAAGAGGAACTTATTGAGCTCCAGTCACTAAAATTTAGAACTAGAGTTTCCACAAAAATCCTAGACTGTATTCTGGATTGGAGCTGAAACTGACTTTTCGACAATTTCTGAATGTTCATTTGCCATTCAGCATCACATACTTATGTGAAGTGATTTTTCAGCTTTAATGCATATTGAATTAACTATTATTAAATTTTAATATGCTTTATTGTCAAACAGTGTCAAATATTACACTAAGATTTCATTTGTTATATAGCAAAAAATAAGCACATCGATCTTCATTAAAATACCATTTTCTTTCATTTATTTTTGTGTATTTAAAGCAAATCCTAAAATTACTTCTTTTTGTATATTGTTTAGCAAACAAAAAAAATGGTTAATGAGAAAATATTTATCTTAATTTTATGTTTAGTACCTGGAATAAACAAAAGGCGACATAAATGAAAAAAAATTTAGAAGTGTCTTTTGAGAGCATTGGAACAATCCTAGCAGCTATTCCAGATTCTTCTAGAAGAATGAGAATTTTAATTCATATTTTTTTGCTATAGGACCAATATTCGCTAAATAGTTTTCTACACGAAGATATATGCATGGGCTTGGTTAAAGTATATGTGTTACCTGTTACCCTTAGTTGTTATAACAGTGTTCAAATTTTCAAGGTAAATACTGTCAGTGCCAAACTGCTTAATATTTTTAACTGAAATAAGCGGGCACATTTTGATGCTTTTTATTAGAGGACAACAGATGCTACACATTTTTACAAAAATATATGTGTGAAAATGCTGGCTACTGGTAAAATTAAATTTGCTGTTGTATGTTGCTGTAAAAAAACTATAGTATGTTGTAAGCAACATACTTTAGTTGTTTTTTTAGTCAATACCATTACCAAAAATTAGTTAGGTCTTTCGTTTAATTTCACTTTGTCTGCGCTGGAGCAATTAAAATCAAAGGATATACTTTCTTAC